AGAAACAGGCTGTATTTTCATGACTAGCAGTGGCAAGTTCAGGAGCACACCAATTTATATTTTCTCTTCTGTGCCTCACTTTCCCTCGCTCTTACACCCATGGGATTGCATCCTCCAGCAAAGCTTTAGCACATATGTTTTTCTTCAGGCTCTGTTTTCTAGCGGACCCAGAAACCAGTTTTCCAGCTATGAAATCTTGTCTGTGCTCAGACGAGGCCGGCTTCATGGAGAGGTGGGAGAAACGAAAAATGGCTGGACTCAGGAGAAGGAGCAAGGCTGTGCTTACTACGATTTCTCTTTCCTGGACAAACAAGGCGAGCTCTTGAATATTTTGTGAGTGCATGGAGGAAGGTTTGGAAGGTTACAGGCCAGACTGGGGAAAGCTGTTCTCTCTGGGGACTGGGAAGGAATGAAGAAAGGGGTTTTCTCCATTTTGTATGTTTATGTATCCCTGATTTGTTTTCTTCTTGTTTCAATATTTCATTGTGTTAATACCCCACAGTTGATGGGCTTCGAGTTGTTCATAGGTTTTTTGTTATTAAGAAAAGTATTTTCATGAACTTTGTTCGACATGTTGTACATATCCAAGAATTTGTCTTGGAGAATATATATATTTTATATATATACACATATATATGTATGTATATTATATATATACACACACATATATACATATACGTACACACACATATATTCTCTCTCTCCTGCTTGTCTTTAAAGGGGCCAGGTTTTTATCAGGTAAAGGTGTCTACAGATGGTGGACAAATAAGTCCAGTAAAAGTTTTATTCCGAAAGACTTCCATCATTTAGACTGCTGTTTTAACGCCACCAAGGCGTTAGGATGCTAAGGGATCCCGCTGTAGGATTCCTAAGGAATATTGGCTCCCTTTGCTTCCACCGATCCCTCAAATTTTTGGTGGCATTAACGGCAGCAGGCGTGGCCTAAGACAAGTAAAAACAGTTTGCTGTTGGAGGCAATCTGCTCTTTCATCACCGAACAGCGATGTAAAAATGACAGGGTAGCCGCAGCACAGGAGCCTCAAAGGCATTTTCGCAATGTCCTGTACCCGCATCCATTTATGGGTAGAGCCTGGAGTTGAAAGGGCGGCTGTCGCTGCCCCTGGACGCTTGCCCGCCATCCCCACGAATTCGGCCCGGATGTGGGCCGTGCGCTCAACCGTCCCGAGGCTGGGGGCCGCTCCGCTGTTTGGGCGCGGTTTTCTTTACTCCTCGGAGCCTGTCTGGCACTCTGCCGCAGGGGCCCTGACAAGAGAAGCGCCTCCTGGTGGCCCAGGAGCAGGACGCTGCGGGGGTCGGGCGTAGGCGGGTCCAGGGGGCGGGTCCAGGGAGGC